TTGGAGAGGCATACCCGACTGAACAAGGTTGGCGCCTGCTCCCTCCAGCATATTCCTGACTTCCCTTTCGATGAAGCTCTTTGAGGAGTCTACATACTCAATGGAGGTTTGGTGTCGGTACCCTAACTCCTTGATACCAGCGATCAACTCACGGGAATTGTCAGTATAAAGGGTCTCGACTGCATCATCCGGAGCAACAAAATGCTGAAGTGCAATAATTACCTCATCCACTTTTGGATTGGGCAGGGTATATGCATCGGAATTTTGCGCGCAGGTCTTTGACTACTAACGATACCCGTTCACCACGATTCCCTTCTTCGATGTTCGCGCGCACGACGACGTGATCGGCAATGAGATGGTCTCCAAATGCCTTAGTCTGGACGCGGCTCTCACCTCCCTTCTTTCGTGCCTGGGGCGCAAGCATCGGAGCTCGCTGACACACTTTGCAGAAGGGTTCATGGGGAAGTGGTGAAACTGGTGTTTCCCAGACTGTGCCTGACGCATCAGGTCTCCCACCTTTCGGGAACGTACCAGGCGGCTTTCATCATCGTCTGGCACCTCTTCATCAAGGCCCTCTTCTTCCCTCTTGTCCGATTGGCTCGAGATCGCTCCCGGCATTGCAAACAACTTCTTCAGGGGTTTGTCCTTCTTGAACTGACCCTTTCCAAAGACTTTGCAATCGGAGTCGAGGACTGGGACATGACCATCAACACGAAGTTGAACAATCTTTTCACCCGGTCTCACCAAAATGGGAATGCCATTTGCCGGCCACACGAAGCTGTACTCTTGATCAAGACACTTGATACCAACAGACAACACAGCTGGGCACTCATCTAGCAAATATGGCGTGCATGGATCAAGCAGTTGCTTCATCCGAACATCGGCAACTTCACTTGCTTCGGTGGACCCATTTGCAGTGATCAGGCTGATCGCATGAGGTGCCTTACGAGGGTTCTCTGCACCAGCAGCATCCATGATCTTCCTGCTAATGAGATCTTGTTCACTCCCGGAGTCAACCAACCACGAAAACTTTCCCTCCCTTGGGGCCGGACTTGCCACAATGGCCGCAACTGCCATTGGGCTGGATCAAGCTCCTGCAAGCACGGCACGTGAGCGATGGTTCGAGGCACTTAATAATGGCATGAAGGCTCATCAGAGCTCTCAAACTTACGAACAATCTCAGCCAATTGCCTTGCTCTGACTTTTGCCAGATTGGCTGCTTTCGGGTCGCTCTTGGGCACACAATCCCTTGTGGCATAGTGCAACTTGCGCTTGCGGGGTTCATTGATCATCTTGCAACGCTCCCCTCGAGCGGGGATTGTGTGGATCTCAGGCTTCCTAGTGAATCTGACCTTTCGGCTAGACGGCTTGCATCTACCACGCACGGGAGGCAAACAAGGCTTCTTGAGACATGATGGACCCGGCGAATCGGTTGCCAAACAGGCAAAGCGATTGCGAAGGCACACAGCAGCATTCTGGAAATCCCCTTTCTTTTCCTTTCCAGGTTTAGGAGAATCCTTTCTGGCCTTGGTCTTTGCGGCCGGCGCTGCCTTGTCACCATCCTTAAAGAAACACTTGTCACCCCGTCTGCATGTACCCTGTTGATCATACCAACATGGAGTCTTAGCCATCTCTTCTTTGGTCATCTTCTTTCTCTCTTTGTCTTCACTCTTGTCTCTCTGCTCCTTCTTCTCTTTGGATGCCTGACGCCTTCTAGAAGGGTCACGCTTGGGCTTCTCGCGCTTGAACTTGCAGTCCTTCCCTTTGGTACATTTCCCCTCCAGGCAAGCCCAGCAAACACCCTTGTCTCGGGAAGTCGGCCGTCGAGCGCTTGCGGCGTGGGTCAAGACACGGCGCCGCGTTCTTCTCACTGCGATCGCCTGGCTTCAACTTGTTTCGCTCGGCGATGCGGGATCGATTCTCACGAAGGCGCTCACGGTCAATCAAGTCCTTGATACTTTGCAATAGAAACTTGTACGACCTGTTCTGTTCACCTTCTTTTCCACGATCAAACAGATCGATGTCATACCTCAAAATTGAACTGGTTCGAATCTGTCTCAACAGGATGCCCCGTAACACATTCTCATGAGGTGGTTCAGGCATGACAGCGATGGTAGCGTCCCAGCGGTTGATGAATCGTTTCAGACCGGCCACGGTGTCACCTACCTTCACCACGTTGAGAAGATCTTCAACCCTGTAAAGGCTCCCAGCTTCTTTAGAAGTCTTGAAATAGTCATCAAACATGAGAAGAATCATCCTCCCACGAAGCCTAGCTTTGCCTTCTCTTCCTTGTAATTGATGATCCGGTTGGCTAGGTCACCCTTTGCACTTCTGGTCCAAGCAGCTGCCAACTTGGTATCCAAAGTCGTGAACTTAGCGGGGTTGGACAACCGATCTTCCAGAACACTTCTCTCATCGATAGTGTTATACACCTCCATCAACCAGTCCCACTCTGCATCACGTTTGTCAGAACATGACTTGATTTCATCTCTCACAAGATGTTTCCATTGCCGATAGGTTTCGGGAGTAGGCATATCATTCAACTTGATGTGGTCTGCTTCCTTAACCTTGGGCTTCTCATCACTATCCTTTTGGGTGAGTGACTTGACTAGCTCGATCACTTGCTCCGAAGTGATGGCACTTGACGACGGCGCAACACTGTGAAACATGTGGGTTGGAGTCTTACCACTGTCTGGAATAGCACTCGTGAACAGAGAGTACCGGCCCCAGGTAGGGCATCACCAGCGACGGTGGCCTCTGGCACACTAGGTCCAAACAACCCACTCAAACGCGCACTAGCCACTGCTGCAATGGTCTCAAATGTTCCTAGGCGTCAACATTGGCAAAGCTACGACGCTCGTTGGACAATACCCTGGGGCAGTGGCATCTTTGCGACAGCCCTTAGGTCATCGATGATCTGCTGCAGACTATAGTTTTCCTTCATCCTTCTCTGCGTCCCTCAAATCACGCAGAAGTTTGCTTTCACGCTCATCGAACTCTGCACGAAGCTTCGCTACACCTTGCTCGGCATTGCTGGTGACAGCGCCAACCGTTTGCTGACAATCGTGCATGAGTTGTGTGCGCAGGGAATCCATTTCCGCTTTCTTTGCTTCTGCTTCCAACGCCTTGTCGTTTTCTAGCTTGAACACACGTGCTTTTGCAGCGCTAAGCTCTGCTTGCAACTTGTTGTAGCTAGATTGGGCTTGCTGCTTCACTGAACTAAGCTCTTCATGGTGTTTGCCTTCTACCTCGAGGATCGCTTGGTGGAATTTGGATTTTGCCGTGTCCAACCATTGTGTCATTACCTCCTTGTGCCTTCTCTCAGCCTCAGCAATGATTGCTTCCTCATTACCGTTGTAAACCTGCTGGATGTTTCGCTGCACAAACTGGAAGTACGCAGTCACCGGGGCTGAACCCATGGGATCATCTAGATCTATCGTGGGCGCAGTTCCGGGACTGGCTGGCAGGGTGACCGATGATGTTGCATTACCAGGAATAGCGAGGGCGTCCATGGCCGTGGTTAGAGCACTACGGTTGATAACCTATAGCAACAGCCGTTAAGCTACCGCTCCTGTTTTGGGCCGCGAGCTACAAGGTAAATGATATCCTATATACAACACATGGCAAAGTGTACATATTACATGGAGTGAAAATACAGGAGACAAATGAATAGTAATGCTGCGGCGGAAAAGGGCGGACGAGACATATGCATAGAAATGCTACGAAGCCAAAGGAAAAGGGCGGACACCAGCAGTGACAGACCTGGGAGACAATGCATAGAAATGCTGCATGGCCAGCGGAAAAGGGCGGACACCACCAGTGACAGACCTAAGAGACAAATGAATAGAAATGCTACATGGCCAGCGGCAAAGGGCGGACTACATGGCCATTGGAAAAGGGCGGACACGAGCAGCGACAGACCTGGGAGACAAATGCATAGAAATGCTACATGGCCA